GGGCATATTCGTAGTCAAAATTAAGTTGGTACTTGAAGTTGGTTGTAAATTTATTGACAGATAACCCATCAAAAGTTATGTCAAAAAGGTACAACTAACTTTAAGTACCAACTTAATTTTGACTATAAATACGCCCCCATTGCGTTAAATATAGTGTTTTAAAGCCCATGAGGACCTACCTTAATATTGAAAGTATGATTTAAAAAACTAAACATATTTACGTATTCTGCTTTCTAAAGCCAATTGCTTTTATTTAAGAAACTTAGCATGCCAACATTTTTAGGTTTTAGTTGCGATTTTCTTTCGTTTACTACTAAAGCAGATTTACTGTACATTCGTTCCGATTCTACTGATGACGTTAGGCCAACATAGTTGCCATATATTCTTTTATATAAAAATATTACCGCTCTATATAATTTATATTTGTATGTTTTAAATTAGGAAAATTTTCGATAGTAAAAAAAACCAAAACCATCGATAGTTTGCCACCTCAGATAGGGCATTTTCGAACTGGCTGCCAAGATAGGCAAATCTTCCACTCAGCTTTCAATATGTGCATATGTATTTCAATTTCTTCTCGTGTTAGAAGTAATGTCGCACGGTGTAGTAATCTCAGTTACTGAAACTCCAACTTCAAGTCATCTTACAGCAATAAAAGTGCTACCGTATATGATCGATATGTAAACCAGTAACACAATTTAATGGTTTCAGCTGCCTACATAAAGAAGTTATATCGCAAAAACTCGTATCTGAACAATCATTGGTATAGGAGATGTAGATTATACAGCACCGATTTGGACGATTTTCTCAGTAGGCATTGTATGATTATTTATGTAGAAAATAGCTCATGAAATTGCTCGGTCGAATGAAGGAGTTTGTAAGGAGGCTGTAGGTTATAGTGACCAGATCTTTGCCATTTTCAATGTAAGTTTTCTGTTGATAACTAGTGAAAATAGAGCGATATTTCATGTTCCTATCTTCGTAAATGGAGGAGTTATAACAAAAACTCCAATATCTGAAAAATCATTCATACGGAAGCTAGTATATGTTGTAGTACTGAGCTTTTGACGGTTCCGACAAATGATTAATACATTACAAAAATACATCCTCTTACAAAATTTCAGTCGAATATCTCGAAAATTGAGGGACTTTATTCCGTTCAAACCGTTAAACAGACAGACATAGCTAAATCGGCACAGCTTAACGTTTTGTGGTGACTTTCTGTAAGAAATTAACTAAATTCTCGATCGAGTTAGCGACTAAATTACACATCAAATCTACAACTGGAATCGAAAAATGGTTAACCGCCTCAATTCCTAATATTCACGGAGTAAGCTAACAAATCAAAAGAAGTGGTTCATCAAAATAAGGGTTTTTAAATTCACTACCGTATGGTTATATCCCATTAAAATTAAAAAATTTCGAGATGTTTACAAAAACTGCTCGCTGTGCTGTTATCTTTGCACAATATTTACATAATTTTAGGAGGCGTTACAGCTATCACCGCAAGAAAGTACCCCATTATTTTAAGTAAGGAAATAGAATGTGTACTAAAAATGTAAGCGATCCCCGAAATCGAGATCACAACCAAATGAAAATATTTTTTTTTATGAAAAATTAGAAAATAATAATGATGATAATAGGCATCTTAAATGGCCCGAGGCCATTTGGGTATTCTTTATGTTTGTCTTGATGAAAATTAAATGAAGTCAGCTGATTTTGGTTTAAAGAATTGCTAAACAAAAGCAAAGTTCACACAGGTAATATACATACCTAGTATGTATGGTACAAACATGATACAAACACATGTATGTATTTATGTAGGTATGTATGTATGCATAATGTGAGCATACCCTGCAGGAAAAATATGAAAAAATAAACGAATAACAAGACATTAGAAAATGTAGAAACATGATTTCAAAATAATGGACGCGCATGCAAAACTTAATCTACTCATTTCTTCAGGGCTGTTGCTAAATCCATCGTAGTCCAATTTTTGTGAAATCTATTTAAATGCTATCAATTAATTCGAATTTCTTATACACATTAAGCACTGAAGTTATGGAGCTACGACACAGTGAAATGGACTCTAGCAAGGAAAGGAGGTTTGTAAAGGTATTTTTAAAAAAATATTAAGTTAAAATATACTATTTACATATATTGCTTAGTTTAGCAGATCACAGTGGTACAGAGAAGAAATAGAACTTTTTTTCCCAAAGTTGCGAGCAACACAAATTTGACAGCGAATAATCCGATATTTTACTGCGTAAAGGGAGTGATTAACTAACGAGCTTTGATTAAGATTATATTTACTTTTAGGATAGTTTGTCTGACAGCGCTGCGATAAGACGAAACAATTCATCGCACGGCGCACAGTTTTGAAAATAAACTTTTTTGTGATAAAATCTAATATCTCGAAAACGATAACAGATACCGAAAAAAATTCAGCGGTATTTTAAAGCTTTTGAGATTTAGAATTCAGGAAAACTTGTTGGATAAGAAAGTTACCTTGACCTTTCAAATGTCTTTAAAAAATGGATGTTCAATTTTTTTCATGTTTTGAAAAAGAAAACAAATTATTTTTGAAGTCCGTTTTGAAGGTTTTATTGAATAAAAATTCACTTGGCCTTAAACACGAGATTCAAAAGTAAAAATTTGAAATTTTTCCTTTATTTTCACCTGGAAATTGCATATAATGAACTCCGGCCATGGAAGGAACCCACTTCAAGCAAGCACAAATATAAGTTTAAACATTTTTTACAATTTCATTTAGAATTATTGAAACCCTTATGTTTTCTAAGGCCATTTTAAATACCAGGCTAATTTTTTATCCAACGAGGAATACTGAATTCTCCATCCTAAAATCATTAAAATACTGTTAAATGTATTTTACCTGCTGTTCTCGTTCCCGATATATTTATTAGATTTTGCCACAAAAAAGTTAATTTTCCACACTGTGTAGCGTTCAAGATAAATTGATAGATATAAAGCTATGGTCAAGTTGAGGTGAAGTATGGCTATCTGTCTGGGTTGTTCAACAGCTTAACAGTGTCTAAAACAAAGTAAAAAAATATTTACTTAAAATGATTTAAGTATGTAGGTACATATTAAAAAACTTAATATGTTCGCACCGTACATTCGACAAATATTTCGTAGTTAATTAATGAGGGGATGACTTTAAGCATTTCCTAGCAGGTCAGTTGAATGCATTATTATCACATTTACACAAACAACATGCACTGTTTGTTGTGTCTGCTACAAAATAGCTCTTTATAACGTGGATGTGTACATATCTACAATGTATGTACACATGGTGATAATATGACACATCAGTTTCAGGTCTAACGGCTGGCAGAAAAGTGGAAAACAAAAATAAAAGAAAGCCGACATGAATGAACATGCAGCAGCATGACTGGCAACAAAACGAGAGCGAGAGCAACAACCCAGTGGTGGGTGCAAACGAGAATACAATACGAAACAATGTTCGGTATGCAGCTGGCTGTTATGATTCAATTTTTGTTTGGCACTCGCCAAGGCAGCAATTGAATGGCGTTTTTTTTTATTGTCAGAGATGTTTGCCTGTGTGTATATACATAAATATGTACATATGTCTATATGTGTGCTTATGTGTGAAATGGTACAGTGTAAAAAATATTTGTGCATGGTTTTATTAAACAACATTTTCACTATTTGAATTGTACAAGCGAGCGTATTTTTTATATTTTTTAAAGGATTTAATAAAGAGTAAAGTTATTAAAAAAAAAAAAGATTTTAAAAATAAATTATTACATTGTTTTTTTCTGTTTTGTTCACGGACGGGAACAAAGGGGAACCATCCAGAGCTAGCTTGTTCTTGTATTTACACTTTTATTTAATTATTTAATTATTTATTTTTTTTTTTATCTAATTTTATTTTAGTTTAATCCTTTAGATTCCGTTCATTTTTTGTTTGACATATTTTATTTTACTTTATTTTATTTCAGTACATTTCATTTAAATTTATCTCAATTAGGTTCAGTTCATTAAATTTTTTATTTTATTCCGTTTAATTTTATTTCTTTTAGATTTCTTTCTGTAGTTTTTATTTTTATTTTTTTATCTCATTTACCCCCCTATTATGAATTCGCACAATGCACGATAAACGCTTGCATTCTGTTATTCTCTATTACGAATCGATGTTGTCGTAATAAATCCGTTAGTTAGCGTGTGGTTCACACCACAGCCATTCACAATAATACATCTGTCGGGCATATGAAAACGATAACACGAGAACTGATTTCATACGATACGCTTGCAACCGTTTATCGTCTATCGTATGAAAATTCATAATAGGGGCTTAGATTCAGTTAATTTCATTTTTTATTTTTCATATTTATATTATTTCAGTTCAATTTATTTAATTTAGTTTTACCTTATTTAGTTGCATTTTTTCTGTTTTTTATTTTATTTTATTTTTTCATATTATTTTATAGCATTTTCTTTTATACCGAGAAATGATACCATTTCTTTGCCCTCCGTGTATAAATACTAAGAAGAGGGCAATAAAAAGCCAATATTTTTTAAAGAAATGAAAACGCCATTGATTTTATTTTATTGCATTTTATTATACCGTATTTTAATTTGTTTTACGCTACTTTATTTTTTTATCATATTTTAATAAGAATATTTTCTGTATTTTTTTTTTAGAGTGTCCAAATGAAGTCGGCTGTTGCATACGGAGCTACCAATTGAATTTTCGGCGCTGCTACCTTTTCACTTCACTTCCAAAACAAGCGCCAGCCAAAGCGCACGTACCAAAAGGAGTACGCTCGGAACTGCCTTTCTTCGCGCAAAATGCATTGTAACGTCTGAGGGTGTTTCGTACATACAAACATAACTAGAATATACTTTGCACAACGCATCCACACCATTCCACAGTGGTTAAATAGACAAAGTACCAAGAGAGCAGTGAATGCAATATTTTTTGTACAGCAACATAACTACGGTTTACCTACTGCCAATACGCTGAGCTCATCCCTGTTCACCTGGCATTGGCACGTACAAAGAAACCTTCTCAGTGTCTGGCAAAACAAATCGAGCCGTTAAAGTGAGCGCACGCGAAACTCCGTTGCTTGCATTTATGGAATAACCGGGAAAAAAGTTTACAATTGAATAGCAAATATAATTAAAAGTTTTATATTTCAACAAAAATCCAAAGAAAATGTGCGAGGGAGGTGTTTTGAAAGTTAGCTATCGGAAGCAATTGAGCATCATCAACTATGAGCCGACCAATCGTTATGAGCAAATTATCAAATTGAGTAAGTAAAATTAAACCAGTGAAATTAAACCTGCGCGTATTTTATAATTAAATAGGGCTATTCGCGATTCGGTGCATAAGAGCTGAAAAATTTATGCAATTGCAGAAATATGCCATGGATTGTGAGTGACGTTTATTAAACTGTCATGGTAAAACTTTTTTAATCAGTTGATAGAAATGTCAACCAGAGTTGCAATGCATAGCATTTTTATGCTATGGATTTTCGGTATTGCAAATTTGTCAAACCATGACAAATGCAAATGCGTGTATTTTGTTTGTGTATTGCAAATAATTTGCAATACAAATTTGCAATGCAATGATGCTAGGCCATTTGCACCGGATCGCGAATAGCCCTTATGTTTTAATAACTTTGGTTTTTTTCTACAGTTATCCAACGCTTTAATATTCCCGCCACGCATGAAAGAGCGCTGTTAGTCTCCACCGAAAATGGCAGAATTTTCGATAGATTACTTTTCGATTATTTCCTCACACTCTTTCCAAATCCCAACATAATTTTTTATATACGTTATGATTATAATCGAGCTCAGAGCCTTTTGCAACCGTTACAACAACGCCAAGAAGAAATAACAACAACAACAATAGAAAGTAGTGATGATACGAATATGAAGAAGGAGAAAGGGAAAGTGAATCTCTGTGGGGACGAGGAAGAAGACCAACAAAGCTTATACAATTTTACGCCAGTCTATCGAATGAATTGCTTCATCTATGAATATCCAACAACTAAAATAAGAACGACAGATAATAATGGTAAAAAACAGAACTCCAGCGCTGAGAAACAATCCCCAAGGAGCGAGTTTGCGAAGCGTGTGAAAAAGCGTTTGCAAATTGGCGAATTAAAAAAGCGCACAAGAAAACCTTTGGCACAGGTAAAACGCATTATGAGACTGTAGCAAGCAAAGAGTGATACAGATGAGGGGAAGAGGAGGAAGAGCATAGAGGCAAACAAGGCCTACAAAAAGCAAAGGACTTCCGTATGTTTTTATTTATGAACGAGAATTTATTAATCAAAAAGGAAAAGGATTTTTTTTGTCTGATTGTATACGACTTTAATTTATGTGTATATTCTGTTTCATTAATCCCAGATAATTTGTTTTACAAAAAATGACTGATATAATCATATACATACTCATCTATGTCAAGCAATCAAATATATTTATGTGCATATGTACCCATGTACATACTATTATCATGTATACTATTTTCTAGTATTTAGCAAGTAAGTGTTTCAGTAAGCCATTCATTTTTGATATTGCATTATGAATATTTTTCAGTTGTATAAAAGGTATATATTTATAATTAAAAAGATTTCGTTTTGTATTAAATGGTAAATGCCAAAAGCACATGCATACATGTATGTAAATAAAATATTATAGTTTAAAAAACTAAAACCTCCCTATTACAATTGCCATTCGCACTGTCATCAGGTATGTAACTTGAGAATAGAAATCGCTGCATCTTTTAGGCGCATCAATATTACATAATTACATCCCGAGTTAATAAAAGGAAGGTAAAAATGGGAGATTTTCGAAAGAGTGATGGGTTAACAGATTAACCAAGTGATGTTAGTGCCTGACATAATGATTAGGGCGACCTTTATTGCCAAGCTATGACTTTTTTCACATAATTTTAATAATTTTTTTATAGAAATATACTCATAGCTTATTCTTGAACAAAAGCCACAATAATTTTATAAATCCAAGTTTCGAACTTTGTGCAACAACAACAAACTTTTATTTTTAACTAGCGGTACCCCGGCGTGCTTCTCTACACCAAATATTAAAAAATTAATGAAAAATCCTGGAATTTTTCCATATGAAATGTTTTTTTTTTACTATATTGCAGCCATGTTTATACTTGACTTAATTTATCCGAAGAAAAAATAAACACAGCATACCATAGCAACAATTTTTCTCTATGTTTTCAATTTTTCATGTATCTGACATTAACTGTCATATATCATAAACCGCTGGACCGAATTCGGGCACACTTCACATAACCCATCTGCATGATAGTCCGAATATACCGTTTAAATTTGGTTGAAGTCTTGCACTTATTTTTTATATATAAGATTGGAGGTGCCACGCCCTCTTTTCCAATACCGCCCATTTTTCTCCATGAGT